TTTTAAAAAGTGACTAACATTTTAATTAAGAGATTTTATATTGATTAGTTTAATAAAGTATGAGCATGGTAATGAAATGAAATAATGAGATGATTACATTCAACAAAACTTTTCACTTGTAATTAAACACAGTCTAAATGTACAATATGTAACTTACAGAAAATCATCTCTTAAATTCCCATTGTAGGTTCCACATAGTCCTAATGTTCTTCTCTTCCAGCCGACATCAACTTGAACATAGATCCTCTCTCCATCTTTAGCAAACAGTATCTTCAAACCAAAACTAGTTTTCAGTTGAACAAAGAAAGAAGATATATTCTGAATTTCAATAGCCCCTGCACATAGCAATAGAAAAAGAAAAACAAAGCCACTGAAATCCAACTTCCAGGTTGTGTTGGTTTAGCCCTCAAACAAAATAGATTTTGAAAACTCAGAAATAAAATGAGAAAATATGCACAACCTCATCGGCAGCCAAATAACCTCACCCATTCTCCATCTGAACTTATGAGACTACATATCTTCTTCATTAGTAACACAAATCAGGAATTGTAACTATTGTTGACAATAAAAAATCTCTCACCTTCCTGTACCTGTGAGTTATCCAGAAACCATTCTCGCATTTCTTTTTTTTTTTAGAAGAAAGCAATGCAACAGCATGCCTCTGGCAATGAGAAGAGAAGACAAGAAACCACTTGTTTCTTAGTCTCCAAGGATGTTATAAGATTAATTAGCAGATGTCTGTAAAGTGTATTGCAATCTTTAGATAGAAGGTTCTCTCTTACTACTATTGATATGACATCAGTATAGCTCCTTCCTTAGACTGTATGTGAACTAAGGCCCTATCAAATTCCCAGCTTTCTTTCCCAGCAAATCCATTATGTGAGGAAATGGAAATTTCACAGTCACAGCATTAATTTGCTACACATTGTTGGGCTACTTGCAGCTGCAGGCTTAAAGCAGTTCTACCTTCACAAGCAGCCTCCACGCATGCACATACACACACTTAGGTGCATAAACTGAGAAGAGGCAGATAAAATGCTTATGTGAGCTTAAAGCTGTTCTTAACTGATAAGACTTACTAGATACACCCAATTATCAAGAATGTGACACAAAATATTTGTCATAGATTATATTTGTTGCAGACTACGGAAAGAGACAAAGTGAATAGGGACTGATTCAAAAGACATAAAATGAAATTATCAATTAAATTATGAAGCAGAACTGTCAACATAACTGAAAGTATAACTAAGCTATGAAACTTGTTGCCATAGGAAGCTGTGATTGCCAGAAGCAGAACTGTGACTGGATAAATTCAGTGAAGAAAAGACATAGCTGTAACCACCAGCACAGAACTCCCTAAATTCTGTTTTGCCGGAAGCTGGGAAAGGAAAGGGAAACTCCCACTTTACTCTTTCAGAAAGAGACTAAAAATTCAGTAAGAATTTACTACTGATCACTCTAAGGTACAAAATTTAGCAATATAATTTCCACCTTCAGTGCTTAATTTTATAACATCCTTTTAAGGCTGATTTATTTTACTATCCTTTCCAAAAAGGTGAAGTAACCTGCCTGAAATCACAACATAAGTCAGCACTGAAAGCAGCGTAGATCCCACAGAGCACATGGATTCTATTCCATGCCATTTATTACAAAAAGCTTTAATCAGGCTAAACCTTAACATCAGCATCAAGATGATTTCCAACCTCTTTTCACCTCCCTTCTTTTTCTTACCTCCTCCCCCCTAAACACAAACAAAATAAGTGGAATCTCTAGGTACTCTGCAAGATAAGAAATGCAAAGAAATGAGGGCATAATGGAGGACTCTATTTCACAGGCTGAAAAAAGTACATTTCTAGAACCATTACTAAGGTTATAAGAAGTAAGTGATTGTACATTTCATAAGTTATGTTTGAAGAAATTCCTTTTTCATAGACAGATATTATTATAAAAGCTTTGGAGCATATAAAAGAAAGAATGTGAACCCTGGTAAAATTCTACTCCATGCACTTCTTACCATTAAGGTATAAAACTTGGTTAGGGCCAGTTTGGACTTGACCATATCTCGTGAGTGTTACTTGTTTGCTCACATCATCTTCAAGAACTAGTGTTATAGACTCAATGCAGGCATGGTCAAAGTTCTAAGTAGAAACAAGTTTCACCATCAGAAACAGGCAAAGAAAGACATTAATATCATCACCATGGAAAGCAAAAACAAACAAACAGGGGGAAAAACAGTTGTATAGAAAGGAAATACCAGAACTGTCATCAGGTAAATCAGTTGTAAACTATCACTCAAAGCATCAAACAGAGCACCCAAAATTGTATGTAGAACAAAATAAAACATTTCATATGCATATAAGAGCAAGGAGAATGCATTTTAGCTATTATGGCAGTCTAGTAGTAAGTGGGCAGAGGTCCCCAAGTACTGATACTGGGGTTCAAAAGGCCATACTTGCATGGCCACCCTGGGTACTCCTCATTGCTGGGTTAACCAGTGTTTGAGCAAGGGTCTCACCCTGTCTACATCAAGCTGGTACGACCAGAGCCCAAATGCAGCAATGCAGGAGAAAGAAACTATTACGCACATGAAGGTGCTTCTTGCCTTCAAACGTAGTCATGATCTCTGACTGCAGACCAAAAGGATATAATTTCTCCAGAATTATACTACAATAATTTATAAATATCTGACTATCAAAAAATGGTGACTTATAAACTAACTCACACCCATCATTTTAGAGTGCTATCCAGGCAGAATTTATGAACCTAAGTACAGGGTAAAAAGTGACACATAACCAGCTTAAACCAAGCATCTTATGCTCCCCGCGTCCCCTATGTTTTCACCCAGAAACTTTCCAAGGTGCCTAGAGTTGTGCTAAGGGTCATTTCCAGTAGCATCCTTGTCTCTCAGTGGCTACCTAACCAACCATTTCATGCTTGAGGCCACCTGAAATGCAGAAACAGGAGTCTCAACACCTATGCAGGAGAAGGAGGTGCTTACAAAAAAAGCAGAGGCACAAGTTCATAGTCTAGCTTTTGAAGGGACATGAGAGACAGTCCCATAGTAGGGCAGCTTCAGTGCATCACTCCCTGCTGATGAGTTCAGGCATCCCAGCCCTCAGCACATGGGCAGCTGTGAGTCACTGTCTCAGAGCCCCTTCTCCTGAGAGCCTAGGTGACTAATAACATCATTAACTCCAGTCTCGCAGGTAAGTACTTTTTATAAGCACCTCTATTCATAAAGCCTGTTGTTGCATACCTGCCAAAATACTTTCAAACAAATATGTGTGGTGGCTAGTCTCTTCAATAGTTTTCTAAAAGGCATTGTTCCAACAAATTAAATATGTTAAAATATTTAAGTCACAAAAATGCGACTTACCTGTCCACAAGGTGCTTTCTGTAGAGTGATTGTGAATTTGTTTTTCCCAGTGCCTTTTACCAAAATGTACTGGCAGATCCCAAGAAAGGTAAAATGACGTCCATCAAATGTTGTGAAATGAGAGCTACCTGTGACGGAGCACTCAGCTTGAGAGAAAAAGGATAAACAAGAATGTTCACTTGCATAAGAATGTATCATTGTTCTGTAAATGATGGAAGAGAGATAAATAAGAAACTTTCTCCTTATTTCTAAGCACATAATCCAGGCTAACTTTAATCTGTCTAGCTATTACAGCATTTGGAAATAAAATATGTTATAAACACCTATTTCCATCAGATACCATCTCATATTACACACACCGATGTGCAGCATCTTTTGGTTCTAACTAGATGAGATGCCTTTGAGTCACAAGTTCTCTAAAATGCAAAAGAGTTTTCTCTTTATTACAACTCTGAAGTTTCCTAGAATCTTCTTCCTCATCATCTTTTGGCATAACTGAAAGAGGACAAGCTTCTTTCTCCTTCCTTCTAGGGTACTGTGGCACTGCTTGCTACCGCAGGTATGAAGAGGCTGCAGGTGTCTGTCTTCAGGGCGCATCTATATTCATTTTTCAGTTCAGATCAGGAGTGCACTGTTGAAGCAAGTCTCCAGCACATCCCCACTTCCTTCACTTTCATTCACACCATGGGGCAGTGTCAGAACACATGAATTAGATTCATTTTGGCTGCAACTACAGCAGGAGGTGCTCTGTGGGAGCACATCTAACTTGCTCCCGCTACTAACAGGCATTCAGTCCCTAGGACCAGACTAGAGTAGTCATAATTACCCCCCCACATGCACACACAACACACACAAGACATATGGAGTGGTTCTCAGTATCAACTGTTTTACACTACAGATCCACCCTGTCAAGCCTTGCTTAGTAACTGTGAAGCCTTGTTTATTACCTCATTCAGAGGCAGCTCCTTAATTTGTAAAAAATCCTCTGTCACAAGTTTCGTAGTATAATCTTGTCTAAGATACAGAACTGTCAAGGGAGTTTCATTACCCGACTACTGCATGTTCCTCTGAGTAACTCATTACAGAGACATGTAATCTTTAAAGATAAGGATCATTATCCCAACATGAACTGCTGTTACAAGGGAGAAAATACAGCACACTGAGCATCAGAATGATGTTTTTCTTATTATTTGCATTACAGTTGCACCTAGAAGTGAGGAGATCCTTATACCTGGCCTAGGTGCTGCACAGGCAGTAGAAATAAGCCACCTACCATAAAGAACATAGAGTGTAAACAGGAGATAGAAAACAAGACGTGGATGTAACACACTGAGTTAGGGAAGCAAATGGGAAAAGGTAAGATGAGCATGGTCAGGCAGTTAACAGCTTCACCCCAGATGGCCCACTGCTACTCTCAACATCCATCTGCTTAATCTTTCTTCTTAAATTAGCATCCCAAGCCCTTGGATCATATTTGGTTCTGTTGTCTTCTGAAAAGTTTATCCCTTATGTTCACTGAGGAGAGAAAAGAATAATGAAATACAGATACCTGGGCAATCATGATCAGTGCAGTTCCAAACGCCACCAATACAAATACTAAAAAGAAAAATCACAAAACACAGAAATTCAGTGTTCTGATCTTTAGCAAAAAGAGCAGCTTTGAGCTAATTAGTATGTCTTGAATTCACCCTTTCCATAAAATAGCCTGCATATTTTAGTGATACACAGGGCCCAGACTGTAAAACATAGATACTAACTATTCTTTAATATGTAGGTGTGACTATGATGTTAAACTAACTACGGGCAGCAGGCACAGAGAGAGGAAACACAGATGTGAGGCTTTCACATACCAGTTGCTACATTCTTGTTCAATTTTTGAGCCTACAGGGAAGGCAGTTCCATGATAAATACAAGGGCAATTCGACACAGAGATACAAGTTCCATTTTCCATAATGAGACCTATTGGGAGGGAAGTTAATAAATGAGATAAAAAACAAATTAACGAACTCCGGATCACTGCTTTCCCCCCACCTGACTCAAACATTCAAATCTGCCAGAAAGTGATCTCACCAGTCTTAACCAGGGACCAGCAAAAAGAGTCGCCCAGCGAGTGCAGAGAGCTCAGAGTGATGAATAGTGAAGCTCCCTCAAAGCCGTTGTCACTCTGAATAGTTGCTTTATGAAAAATGTCTGCCTTAAGCATGTAAAACTATACAGACTCAAAAATGAAAAGATTCTGAGATCACATAATCTTTAGTCCTTCTAGAACAGGACTGTTCATAGTCCAAGCCCTAATTTCTATTGAGTACAGGTCTCAGGAAGTTTGTTTTCTTGTACAGAGCATGAGACACATTCTGTTTAAACAAAACCTCAATAGATTTTGGAATATTTCAAACAAAGTGGATTAAATCTATGCAATATCTTATTGTAGCAAGCATTAGTGATGGCTCCAGATTTTAATTGATATTTCATTCTAAGCCACCTTTGTATTCTAGAGAAATGTTTAGAACACAATAAAAGGAAGAATCACAGTGAGAATAACAACAGCTAGAGCAGAATTTACAATATTCATATTTTCAGGCTTTAACTTTAAGCACAGTCTATTTAGACAACTATTATGATGTTGGATATTAGCTTTACACATATTTTTTCACATAAAATTGACAGTACTTACCATCTGGACAGTAACAGCCATCTAAGCAGTGTAGGTTGCTGCCAAGACAATCTTTTTCAAATGTGCAGGTTGGTGGACAACAGCTGATACAGTCACGGTGTACAAAGCTGTCTTCACACTTCTCAGCTAGAAAAAATACATGGTACATTGAACATTAGTGCAATTTCTCTTTCCATACTGGAGAACCCCTCTCTCTCAAATAAACAGTTGTGCAGCACTTCTGGTATAGGTAATTATTCAGATCAGGTACAATGGATTGTTTGGAGAGGTTTTAACTGAAGAGCTGTGGTGAATCTCTCATCAGTATTTAAGTCTGTCTTTACCAAATTCTTACATCACCCCTCCAAAAGAAGTTATAGTTTCTGTGACAGGGGAACATGTGCTCATATCTCAGCTAGTTCAAAGTCTTGTGCATGAGACTTAACGGCGATTGATGGGTGGTGGTGATAACTAGAAGGAGCTGGATTAACTGTATTAATTCTGTTATAGGGCCAGTAGAGGCTGAACGGTCGGTCATCTAGGAAGAGGGGCAACATCAGGTCTCCACAGATGTTTGTTCTTTGTCCTAGAATATGATCAGCACACATGATGTTTCAAGCAATCTGAGGAAACATGAATTTTGTATGGATCTAGATCAAAACACAATGGAATTAAAATATTCCTCTAGCAAGTCATTGACTTCATTGTTCGCCAGCAATAGGGAAGCTGGCTGATCTATTTCAGTATTGGGTTTGAGTCCTATAGTGACAAATGTTGTCAAGATGGAATTATTTGAAATGAATACATGGGTATCTCAAAGGTCACATAGTATGCTTTATTAAAGAGTCTTACTACAGGCAGGAAAGTCATCCCTCCAGTCCCGCACCGGTGACCCAGCATGAGAGCATGCTCTAGCGTACTCTGTCACCGCCCTGCAGTATGTTTCATCATCATCCACTCTGAAATGATAAAACAAGAGAGTAATCAAGGAACTCAAATCCCATCTACAAATCTTTGCCACAGGACACTGCACAGGATACTTCACACATAGCTGACACCACTCAGTCATAACGGTACACCGTGAAAATACTATGAAAAGGAACGAGCTATACTGAATACACTGTTGTGTTTTTATCATTTGATCTCACAAAAAGTTATTTCATTTTAATGCTACCACAGTGAACAAAACTACTCATTTATTACAAAAAAGATAAATGCTGCTTACGGTGAAAGAGAAACATGACCTTGTCTTGAAGACAATAGACAACTCAACAGTCTCAAGATCCACGTCTCAGGCCCTCTCCTTCCTGCATGATGTGGAAACTCCAACCTACACTGATATTGGACATTCTGGTCCAAGTAGCAAGTTCAAGTTTCCAGTTGCCTCGAACTTAGGCGAGAAGAACTCTGTTGGTGGACTCCTGACCTTGTGCTGAAGTGCTCGGTGCCAGAAGCGTTATCCACTGAATACTGTGGACAGGTTTAGGGATTTACAGCGTGACCTTGGGCAAAGACATTATCTCTGCCTTAGTCTATACAGAAGGAGCTGTACAGTGCACTTTTGCCAGGATCAAGTAAAGAGACATTCATCAGTGTTTAGGTAAGATCAAATTTTATTCAGATGTAAGTGACATAAGGCAAGATACCACCAACCTTTTGTTACTGTGAAAGTCCAACAATTCCCATCACTCACTGTGGAGGACTTGATGCCAAAATGAACTAGTCATAACATGACATTTCTATTATAAGCATGACTGTGACAGATCAGCTGAGTTTGTCTTTCAGCACACAAGATCATGCTTCCAAATTTAATGGTCTTAAGAATATATTATATTGTGTTTGTATTCTGCTTTCAACACATCTGTTATCAAATCAAACACCACTATACTCTTTGTTACAGTGATCAGAGTCTCTCCAGCTCTCCTTATCTAATCCAATTAAATGGGTCTTAATAGAAAGAATACTTGGCATATACTATGGCCTCACAAAAAACTTCATAAACTCACACTAAGCCACAAGAAGAGAGGTCTCTTTTATAAACAAAATAAGCCTAAATTAATGAGGTTCTGAGACACAGAAACTTCCTTCAAGGTTTTTAATATTCACACAATTCACATCAACGCACATATGCTGACAAAAATCAAATCCGCCTTAACACCATGACACTGATTCAATATCACATTTGAAAATTTGCTTTTCATTATTCTTCTTTGGCTAAGAAAAAGCCACAATAAACTCCTGACTTACAAAGAGACCATACAGAGGCAACTCACCTCTTCCCTGAGCAAAATCAATGTACAGATCATAAACTTCAGGAAGCACACTTCGGAGATTTGCCTACAAACACAAATTCTTCCATCTTGACTTTATGGTAAAGCAGAAAACTAAGAATTCATCAAAAATGAACTAACAAGTTGTATTGAATTATACTGAGTGATTCTTACTTTTAGTCTTGTGATCCTTTCTGTATGTTTTTGATTAAATTGATGATACTCTGAGAAGGCCATAATAGTATCTGGTAAAAATCCTGCTATTTATGACAATTACTTCTTAATTTCAAAACCCTACTAAAAAGGAAGTGGTACACTGCTCAGTCATCTATTCAATTACACTCTGGAGCACCAGTTTAACTTGAATGACAAGAACTAAACAGGAGTCTGGAGAGCTAAGGGGAAAATACCAGGTTGCATATAATGCCAACAGCTGAGGGGGTGTAACTCGCACCCAAGCCAATGAGAATTGAATTTCTTTTGACAACTCTGAATTTACATAAATAAAGCAATTTTGAAAAGTTCTATTAATTTGAACCATAGTGATTGCTCATAAAAACAGTCCAACTGTGTCAGACAAATGGTCCAGCTCCTCCAGTATCATTGATATTTCCCCCTAGTATCATCTCCATGTATTTTTGATTCAGGACCTCCATATACAGGTTTCAGGGTTTTTGTGATTAGCAGCTCCTCTTTTGTCATTAGTGATTCTCCATGGATTTTCTCTTCCATGTATTTGTCTAGTATTTCCTTGAATCTATGTAAACCTTTAGCAATCAAAATATCCCTTGGCAGGCTGGTTCTGTACCCTTTGTTTCCATACTAAATCACCCTTTGAGAAACCCCTTCTCTTTTGCTTTGAACTTAAAATCATAGAATCATAGAACAGTTTGGGTTGGAAGGGACCTCTAAAGGTCATCTAGTCCAACCCCCCTGCCGTGGGCAGGGACATCTTCAACTAGATCAGGTTGCTCAGAGCCCCGTCCAACCTGACCTTGAATGTTTCCAGGGATGGGGCATCCACCACCTCTCTGGGCAACCTGTGCCAGTGCTTCACCACCCTCAGCGTAAAAAATTTCTTCCTTATATCTAGTCGAAATCTACCCCCTTTAGTTTAAAGCCATTCCCCCTTGTTCTGTCGCAGCTTGGTTCCTCCTAACTTCCCTCAATGCTGCTCAGTTCTGGTCTCAAATGAAACAGTGAGCATTCATTTCAGGCGTCAAAAATAAATACACAAGAACTCCAGTCTTACCTGCAAAGATCATTCATACAGCTAGAAATATAAGAATACGGATCTATGCTTTCATGACAGCTGAGAAAAGGAAACTGTAGGAATATTTGGCACTTGAAGAGTATGTCCTGCACATTAAAGAGAATCAGTAAACAACAGTTAGCAAATACTTTCTGAACAAGCATAATCCTTTTTAGCTTTGTTTCCCTAATCTAGGGTCCTTTATATTCCCATTTAAATCTGAGAATCTTACAGTCTCAATTTATTATTATGTCTCCTTTATTATTCTTTCTAAAATTTGTCCTCTCTGCCTAGGCTGGCTTGATTGCATGCTGCTCCTAAACCAGCTGGGATGAAAGAGTGTGAAATGACAAAAAAAGCATTTTGTGTCAATGCAGGAGCTAAGCATGTTACTTCTGCAGTATTTCACAATTTCCAATATAATGAGGTGTAAGATGCCAGGACTGGAAACTGAACCCTAGTTTAATGCAGCAATGAAGAGCTCTGCCAGCAGACCTGTGCCACTTGGCACATCCTATCTGAGCCTTTGTACTTTTAGGCTAAACTTCTGAAGATCTTCAGACATTGCCTAGCAGCAGTTCTGATCTGAATCTTCCCTTTCTCAAAGCCTCAATGCATTTAAGGCTTTTTTCAACATGGTGTATATTGCTAGATTCTTGTACTATCACCAGGCAGTGAAGATTAAGAATATATATATATACACACACACACACATATATATTAAAAAAACATTATTAATTTACCTCAGTGGATTCTGCATCAGCTGAGCAAGGACTGGAAAAATCTGAGGCAGCAGGTACACAAGCTACATCATCTGAGGTTTGCACAGCCCAGCTATTTGCAAATTCAGCAATGTCTTCCGTATATTCACCGACTGCATGAAAACATTGGAAGAGCATCCAGGAAAAAAAAATTGTCAACAGAAACACAAAAGACAGCTTGGAAATTTCTGGTAGTTTTTCAATGTGCTCATTACCTCAGTTACAGATCTGTTCAGAGTACGGGTGGTGTAGAAAAATGTTATTTTTCTTTTTTAATTTCAGGTAGTATTTTATACTACATTTACATGAAAAGATTAAAAATATATGACAAGGTTGGGATTTTTTTTAAGTGCAATCACTGACAATTTTATAACAAATACACAAATAAGGACAAACATCATGCATTGAATACTTAAGAAAAAATACATTTCTTTAAAACAGTTTAAGGCTTTCATCATGTTTCACAAAGGTCAGTTAGCACTATTGTCTCCCTCCTTTTCCCTTGCTGCAGAAGAGCCCTGCAACAAACACACCACTACATGCCCAGCTCTCCTCACAGCATGAGCATGGGAGAATTAATGAACAAGATGCATGACTGGAAGTCATGGCAACAGGCTGAGGAAGATACACGAACATACAAGAAGGTTGGCAGTAAAGAAACAGACCCAAACTTTCCATATCTTTGCAGCAAGACCTAAATATTACATTTTCTCTGTGTTCATAAGTACGTTAAAAAGGGTACATTGCCCCAGCCTTGAAGAATCTTACAGTAATCGGTATCTATGCTATGCTTATCTATATCTATGCATGGTTAGGAGATAGGGTATTGAAATGAAATCAGCTACAGTTTTTTTCACAGAGCTGTACTATCCAAAACTTAATCTAACTTCTTCTAGCACAAGATGTACAAAGTTTGACACTCTGCAATGTGGAAAGCCCCCAAGCACACTAAACAGATATTTGTACTTGGATCTCCACAGATAAACAAAGATAAGATCCTAACCACCAGTCTATTTTACTTAAGAGCCAAGGATACTTAAGACATTTCTCCCTCTCTGACAGAATAGTTCTTTATGCAGAAAATCCTTCCCAAACATAAAAAGCTGGGTTTTGGTCTAGAGGTAAACCTGTTGACATAACTCTGCTTCTGCAAAAACATTAAAAATATTTTATTTACATTTTGACATGGCTTGAAAAAAATTTCTAAGTCCTCAAAAAATGCCACAAAATAAAATGTCCTTGAAACAGTTCTATACACAGATACAGCCTTGTATATTGAAGAAATACAAAGATGCCGTTAAAGATGAAGATAAGGAAACAGAAAAGGAGTTTGTTTTTAAACTGTGCTTTGAAATGGATTATTACCTGCCTCTCAGCAACTTATTTATTTGGGGCATTGCAAATAGAGAGCATTCAGACTCTGGAAGACTCAGGATTGATGTAACAGCTTCCCTTACACTCTGGGGGGGAGTAGTTTAGCTGGGGGAGATAAACCATCATCCCAAACGATTTATAAGGTTTGGAAACACTTAGAAAAATGTTGCGGCTTAGAAGTAATTTGAAGTAGCAGTCTATTCTTGTGAAGGTATCAGAACTTCGTGCTTTGTATTTGCACAGAGTCAAGGTACCATGTTATACAACTGGTTCAAGGTTAAAATGATTCATAGCACTCTCAATCGTACATGACAATAATACTATCACTTCTGATAAAGAAAAATGCTAGAAGAAATGACGATGGTGAAGAAGTGTAGCTCTGGAAATGAAGAAAGCTAAGAGCTGGAAATCTTCTATAACAGATAATACATTTAAAGATATTGAAATTACTATTTTTTATAGATTGTGTAAATTAATGATCTCATCCAAACTCCATTTTTCTCCATTGTTACAGATCACAAGTTTTAACTAGTTATTAAACATACTATACTCTGGTGTGCAGAAGTTAATGCATGAAATGGGGAACTTGCTGCTCTCATGGCAGAACAGGTATGAGAAATTTATATTGGGCAGATTTTTAAAGACTATACAAAGATAGGTACGCTGCATCTTCCCTCACTTAGAAAGTCAAAAAGCTCCGCTATCAACCATAAAAAATGGGGAAAAACAGAGGAGGGGAAAAAAGTTACAGTGAGACAACTTTTGTGACTTAAGAATATGCCGGGCCATGGGACTAGATTCTCTCAGCAATTAATGGTAACAGTAAAACAGTCCTATCTTTGGTTTTATCAGAGACTGAGAAAAATATTCCTCATATTCTCAAGCTTGTTCTTTTTTTTTTTTTTTCACATTAGTTGCAAGTAGGACAAAAGTCCCTATAAAGTATTCTCTACATAGACTACAGAATATTCGACCAGCTTTGCAAGTCATCTCTGCCTCAGACGCAGCACTGGGCAACTCCTCATCCTACAGGGTAGTCGGAGGCCCATGATACACTATACCAACAGAGAGATATAAGGAACTCCCTGGCAACAGTTTTGAAATTTACATATTTCAACTAGCTTTTTTATGTTGCTCATATAAACGAATGACTCGAGATGGTGCTTTTTCCAAATGTTAATATTTTGGCTCTTCTCTCCTTCTCCCTCCATCCTTAAACATAGAGAAAACCACAAGCATTTGTTTATTTATTTATTATTTGAAGGCACTTTCATCAGCTAAGATAAACATACCCCAAGTGCTTTGCTGAGCAAGAAAAGGCTTAAGCATACATATAAATACTTTCTTGAACTGGGACCTTTTCCCTTAGCATCTTTAACGATGAGGAAAAGTAGAGCAGATATTCTATTTTCTACTGAAATAACTGAAACAGAATTCTGCCTTTTTACAGTATTATATTTAAAGTGAACATGGAAGCTGTTCACACAAGGTAAGGGTGTATTTCTAAGCTATTTACTTACTATTTTGCAGTATCAAGTCATCATATTTATTGCCATTAAAATTCCCACAGAGGCCACAAGGTTTTCCCTTATGATCTTCTGTCAGCTTAATATAAATACCAGAGTTTCCATCCCAAGCAAGAGAAAAGCCAAAGGTAGTCTTCACCAGAATATAGTCAGCCAGTCTCTCAAGGAAAGCATTTCCAACTGTCTGAGGCAACATTAATCTGGAAAAGTAAACAGCCTGCTTCAAAGATCTCAGATGAGATGAGGTTAGTGCTAGAAAAATACCACATAAAACATCACCTTCTAACTCACTAAGTCCTTTTTCACAGGTGTATACAGTCACTTCCATTCAATTCTTCATCATGTTTTTACTGTCTTTTCTTCTGTTTCCTTCTCTATATCGACCATCAAAAATGAATGCTTTTCTGCTTTATACCTCTATCAGTTGTACCAATTATAAGCCTGAAAGAATAATGAATCTTCGGTTTTCAAAGCCCAGCATGGGCACGTTGAGGAATACGTGATTTCATGAGCATGCTGTGTTGTGCAAGGAGCTATGTGACACTGTGACCACCAGCAGCCCTTCTGGGCACAGGGTCCTCACTGGGTTAGACGTCTGCAAATGGAGGAAATTGCAGTACAGAAAATCCTATTGACCAAAATACTATACATTTTCCTTCTTTGGCCAAAGACCGCTGGACAATAATATTGCAGCACAGATCTAATCCTAATCTTGCAAAGTTGCTTCTGTTGGGATGAACAGCATCACTGTAGCTATCAGTCTCAGGTGCTAACGGCTATAGCATTACATCAAAGGGGATGGCAAGAACACCTTAACAACTCTTTGAAATTTTCTGTACTTTATCACATCTTAACAAGTTGTTAAGGTACAACTCTTTGAAATTTTCTGTACTTTATCAACCAGTAAAACATACTTCTGATAGCCTTGCACTCATCTTTTTACTTATTAAACAACTGGTAAATTTGGGAGTTTGATGTACCTTGAGATGTTTTGTGGAGTTTTTGCCCCAAAGGGGCAAAGGGGTCTTAAGATCTTTGATTCAACCAGTTCATACTTGTCTAGAAGTAGATTATGTCTTACATTAAGTACAGCTACGAAGAATAAATAATGACTGCCTTGTTCAAAATGGTATCAGGATGCACCAAGAATTAGCTACAATTGTCTGATGCAGACTTTGTCTATACAAAGTAGGGATGGGTAACTGTTAGGTTACAGCTGGGAAGTTGAACACAAGTTTCATGTGGGGAGTGTATGCTATCCTCACTCAGGTATTACATCAGCACCAGCACATCTGCTCACACTGGAGCTCTATCAGCCCCAATACAGAACAGCGAGGGATTAATAAAGATATATATCAAATTATTTTCTCTGGCTGGTGTAAAAAGCATCAATTTCCCAAACTCCATGCTATCTTTTTGCAATAAAATCTTAAAACCCACATTAGAACACTTACTTGATTCCTTCTTTTCTTACTTCATGTCCTGAAATAGTTATTTCTTCTAGGTTTGAAAAAAATAAGCTGATGGACCTCTGACAAGTATATACCGAACCATAACAGTGAGGACTGTTATGAACCTTAGAGGTGAAAAATATACACACAATAAGAATAAATGTTTGTTCTCAATAATTTCATGCAATTTTTTATAAACTCATGTATGATATTTTACATTTCTATGCACCAATCACTGAAAGAGCTTTACAGATAAATACTTAGAATATAAAAAAATCACAATTACAAAGATACGCAAAACTAGAAGTTCACGCTACCAAATACTACTGAGAAATACAAATACAGCAACTGTTTAATAGCACAAAGCATCACGAGATAGTGGTTTAAATACTGGATAAAATACTCGGGTATTTTACGTAGATGAACTTCACACTGTAGTGAGCTATCTTATAACTGCCAACATAGGAGCTTGTTATTTGCACTGAGGAGACACCCCTGTTGTTCTCTTTCTAGAGGTCTGATCTACAAGAGGGGACTACAAACCAACACAAAACCTCAGAGTAATACCAGCATTCTCCATGCCAGCTGAGACTGGCACCAGATGAACTGCAACATGCCTTCCTGAACCACTCAGGATTTGTTGAGATTTTGGAGTGTTCCCATGGATTACTGCAGGCATCTAACTTATGTGGATCTGTTGAAACCCACTTCGCACTGGCTTTCTAGCCCCGCTAATGGAGAAGGGCAGGCTTTTCTGAAGTCTGCCTCTCCCCATTATGCATATATAGCATAGTGAGCCAGGGCATTGGTTTGAATCGCGTATCAGCTTCCGTAGTTTGAACACAACAATGGAAATACAAGTTTCAGTCAGCCAGAGAGAGATTTGCAAAACTGTGGCTCAGATATTGGCAATGTATGACTTCCATGACTGCCCACTACCAGAGAGAGGTGTTAAACAGATCTCAGATGCATGCTTCCAGAAATGAAAACCATGCAACTCCTATCTCAGCATGTCTACAGTTTTATGGCATAAAACTAGATCTCGCATAAAAAATGTGTAATCAGACCTTGGAACAGGCATGATAAGCCATCACTCTTCCTTTTTATAGTTTGGCAAAAAGGAGGGTACCCCTGAAGTCAGACTTCCTTTGCATTCCCAGCCTTCGGCATGGCAGAGTACGACTCCTGCAGGACAGTCCTTTTCCCCAGAGACCACACAGCTTTCGTTGGCCAGGGCATGCTCTCAGGACTTGAAAACTGTGGGTTCAGATTTACTCTAACTGATGATAGGGATATACGTCTCCAACTTTCTGTGCATATGCTCTAAGCAATTAACTACTACACAGTTTTGAATTAGACTCACATAGTCTAAGTGAGTTTTAAGCACATACCTACCCCAAGGGCTTGAGCAAAACTTCAACAGCTTTCATTAATCTCAGTGGGGCTGAGCCACCCAAACCTATGGGATGCCCTAGACTACGGTGCTTCAAAAGCATGTGAGCTGGTTTTAGACACCACTGAGGAGACAGGGGAATGTGTTGTGAATCTTAGATACCTACCATTATCTAAATAAAAATGTAGACAGAGTTTAGATAGCTCAAATATGACTCCTATGACTATGTGTGTCACCATTCTCTGAGAAGGATGGGAGTTGCATTACCAGTTTACTTGACAGTGCTGTAAAGCTAAATAGATTAGTAACTGGGAAATGTTTTGCCAACATAAGTAATGGAGGCTGTAAAAGTAACTAGAGCTATCGGTTTTGTAGAAAAGATCTGTTGGCAAACACATAATAGTGCTAACACGTACTCGAATTAATCTTCCTACACTGACACTTCATCCTGGAAGTAAAAACCAGTTACTGTCTCTTTGAGTGAAATAAACCAAACCAGGAAAAGCATTAGAGTTTTTACATGTATAAAGAAAATCATAATCAAAGACATCATAAATGTTACTAGTATTGACAGATGGTTTCTATGTAAACCTGGCCCAAGACAGAAACACAATCAAGGAAAATCAAAATAATTCCTGTGTTTTCTTCTCCTCTAGAGAGGTGGATTATTAAAGCCAGAAGGACCATAACGTGAGGATTTGGCAAGGGTCTTGGCTCTCTCTTGCCCAGCCTGTAGTGACTGCAGTGCTTCAACATTACTTATGACTTTTCTGAGTAAACATTTTCAGTTTTTAGCAAAACATGACATTTGTTCCAGCAATTGAATGTTAGTTTCTCTCTTTCCAAAGCAACTGGAATCCACTGAAATGTTGATTCTAGATTTTAATATAATCTTGGGCTTTGTTACAGCATTTTCTGAAAACTCTTAAAAGATCATAGCTGCACACAGAATCCAAAGAATTAAAATGAAATCATGGAAGGAGGATGTAACAGCATCTGTCTATATCCTGAGTGAATAGAAATGGCAGTTTTAATGGCAGATTTATCTTCACTAGATGCCATTATCTGGGCGGAGAGGAGGTCGTGTTTATAAACAAAAACTAGTCCTTGGAGCAGAAATCAGCATCTAAGTCTGCCCTTGCCCCTGCAAGCACTGTGACCACCACAGCTCAGAATTAGGACCCCTCTTGTCCCCTTTCCCCTGCCCAATCACCACCAAACCCCAACCATTGTGTAAAAAGTAACATAATGAGCTCATATGCTCTCCCCACAGTAACCAATAGCCTGAGAAATAGGGCATCTTCCTTCAAAGAGGGTATAGGTTTGAACTCTCCCTGACCCAAAGTCATTAACCGTGGATACTCAGCAATTTGAGGAAATTACTAAAAAGAGTGCCTTCCATACATAGGTCAATATGAAGGCTTTTGAGCTGTTAATCTTCTCTGCATGATGTAGAGGTAATCCAAAATTAGAATGCAAATCCCCAGAGGGGACAGAGTTTTCCATGGGCCAGGGAGGCAGCTCCCCGTAACGTGCTGATGGCTGTGAATCGAGGCCCAGTACGCTCAGGTGCCCAGCTATCAGGCAGGTGACAGCTGTTTGCACTTTACTCAGCAACTCAAGTTTTTGTACAATCTGACAGCTAAAGTTTATTGAAGTTTCCAAGGTCTGCTTTAAGACCCACTTTTGCTCCCAGAAAGGAGAGATCAGAGATCCTTTTTAGGATAGGGGAAGTAAGAAATACTATTTTTAATATACTGACTCTGTTGATTATCATTTCATCAGTGTTTTGAGTTACTGCACATAGGCTTAGACATTTTCCAGCGGCATAGTCTTATATTTAAGTAAGCAATGCAACGGTTTGATCCATTTATTGTCTCTCTACTTATTTTACTTACGATGAAAGACATATTTATGTGAGCTACAGACGTACTTACCCAAACAGTGTACTGGGGTGCTGGAGTACTGCAGTCTTTTGCAAAAATATAGGAGCAATTTCCTGGGAAGTAGTAGTAGATGCCATCAAATGTTTCAAAATGATACTGTCCCCATGATTTGCAAATCCCATCTCGGTCCTTACCAGTGTTAGGTACTGGAGAGAACACACTGAGTTTACAACAAGCACGATAATCAAAAACTGACAGGTGTCACAGGCAGCTACAAAAGTAAGAGCTCAGAAAGGAAATAAGAGCTTATAAAGGAAATACATAGCAAGGACAAAAGATAACCTCATTTCTTCAACTTTAAATGAAGTCTACTTTTTTTTTAATCTTTAGGCAGCAGTTTTAGTCACATGCGATCATCATAAGTTTTTAATTTGCTTCAGTGGAGACATTTTAATTATAGGTAGAGGCAAGGGATTTAGATCTACTGCAGATCCTGGAAAACAATTCTTCTTGTTGATCCCTACATACAGCAGCTTCCAGAAACCAGTGCATTGAAATAGTTGGTAATTTTATTTGCGGTAAGTCACAGTTTGTTAGAAAAATGCAGTGACTTTTTGGTTGTTCAGCTAACTATAAAAAACCTGGCTAGCTACTGATGTACGAGACAGTGATCTATCTGTTATGGTATCTATGTATCATTACAGCCCAAGTGCTAAAATGTAGGCATTCCTGATGTTGCTCTATATATATCCCTAACGCATATCATTTTAATCCTCTTAGCTACTAGTGGAATGACAGTCCTATTACAGAGGAATCACAAATATGCTGTTAACAGTATTGTTTTAAAAACCTGCACCTTAAATCTCACTTGAAGCTGAAACTTGACTCTTTTGGCCCAAAACTTACCAATTTGGCACCTGCTTCCTTGAGCCTGAAGTAACTGACAGTCACAGTCACCTGACTCTGTGCAGGCTGCTCCATTAAGGCACTCCTGAGGACATGAACCTGTAAGGAAGCATAGCAGCCTTTTAGTAGATACAGTATTTTGCAAACAGGCTGAGAGATCCACATTAAATCTGTTTATTTTTAAATCATAAGCAGCTATATTAGCTAAGAAAATTAACACCAACAATCTTCAGGTTTTAACATTTACTTAATTTTACCCTTTGTGTTCCTTGGTTAAAAGAGAAGCAAGGTTCTCTCTCGTTTGGTTTGAGACTTGTAAACTAACAAAGGAGCAAAAGGTCAACCTCCTCCCAGCAAACAAAAGGTCAAGTTCCCATGTAAAGAAACCAAATCCCAGCCCTGCTGATCTCGAAATACACAGGACACAGATTATTCTAATTGACTAAATTCAGCACAATTTATACATATGTTCAGCTCCTCCCTCCTAAGCGTTACAGCAAAGGGTACATTCAGCTTATAAGCAGCCCAGAATATATAATTTACAAAGTCAAAACCAATCATAAATAACCTTCCCCCCCATGCTAAAAAAAGTCAGTTAAAAGGTTATTTCTGCTTAAGAGGTGACTGAAGTCAGAGACTTACGATTCCATGGGAATGGCTTGTTTCATGTTATAATTAGTAATTGTTTCCAAAAGCAGTTTCATTAAAGGGTTTTATAGTCTGTTTGGAAGCTAAGACCTCACTGTCATCTACTAACCATTCGCTGAGGTGGGTCTGAATCATAGTTCTCCAAAAGTGGAGAAGAAATGTAGTCCCAACCCAAAATTTCATCAGGTTTTGCAGATAGTTGCTTTCCTTCTTGGGGGAGGATTAAAACCCTCGATACAAGCGCTTACAATCTTGCTGACAGAGATTAAAAAGCATTGCAAAATGCAGGAAGTAAATGAAATAAACGGGCCCTTCCACTCCCAATGAAGCCATGGTAAAGCTGCTAGTGACATTAAATGGGAACAAAATGGGACCTTTACAGTAAAGTACACATAGAAGTTACCAACGATTAAGAACATCAGCCTTCACTGTGGAAACTCCCTTCCATGCTTAGTTTTGAATTTTTTCCATTTAAGAATTGCTTTCCAAATATACACAGATACTCTGAAAATACCGACAAAGCAGCAAATACTGTTTATAGAACAGCACTAATGTGGAAAACTTCTTTGTCGTTGTTAGAATTGTGAGCTGTAAAATTACATATATTCAATTACATGGAAAAACACAACAGAAAGCACCTACCCAGGCATACGAATTTTCCAAGAAGGATACCAAAGTTCGGTTGCATACAATGAACTTTTCTGCAAAACAACTTCTGTAACTTGGACCTGCTTTACATGGTTGTACAATGCTTAAAACCCTCCAGGAGCAGCTGCGTGCTCATTGCCTGAGCACCCCTGTCCTTTCACATAACCAGTTACACGCCTCTCAGACATACTTACACCCTCTGCCAAGGCTAGAAAAAGTGGCAGAGAAGAAAAATTGCAATGGAACTAAACTTTAAAAAAAAATAATCAAAGGATTGGCTTAGTCAGCTGTTCAGATTTGGTTGTAAGGCATTATTTTGAAAGTACAATTTTAACAGGTATTTTCCATGATTTAACATGGATAAAAGGAGAAAATGAGACAGGGCAGGGTTTTGTAGGGGACATAATGAGGAGGGCTTCCACAACTCATGGTAACACAGGAGAGCTGGTAGCAAGGCAGCATTTTCAGGACCATCTCTCCTCCTGCGGGTGAGGAGCACGTCACTGACCTCCTGGCAGACTCCGCGTCAAGGGCCCATGAAGGTGCGACCAAGGAGAGGCAGCTTGAATCTGTCAGAGAAACATAAAAGCAAAATCAGGGTGTTTGTGCTTTACAAATGAGCTGATACGATCCTGAGGCCTTGCAGCCTAACATTGGGTTGGGACTTTTAATACAGAAGAGTAATTTGCAGCTCAGCCAGCACACGGCACAGCCCCTTGCGCTGCAGGAGGGATCGGCAGCCTGGGCCAGTGGGGAAGGCAGTGACAGCAGTAACCAGCACAGTGGGGAGGAGAAGCATGGCTTCTGGGGGAATTGGGAAGGATACAGCTGTGCTGTGGGATCACCGCTGGCCTCTTCTCCATGCCCTGCAGTGCCAATGAACCAGCGGGGCTCCACCTGGGAAGTTTTGCATTTACATTTGGAAGGAAGACTGAGGGGACAGAGAGCACTCCTGTCCTTTTCACTTTTTTCAAATACCAATAGTTGGAGAGGTCGAAGATGCGATATCCCTCCATTTTATCCACTCTCTTAACTCATGCTCTGTGCCTCACCCCAATCATCCCACTGTGGCCACTCCAGCTGCTATGGATTTCATGTTCTCCTTGAGATCCTTCAGAATTGCATTTCAGTTCATCCCAAAAAAAAGAGGAGGTGGATCTGCCTGATCTGCTTCCTGTCTTGTTTAGGAACCAGGGAGCATCGGACTATAAGAAGCCCTGGATCTGACCCAGCACTCTGCTACTGCAGCTTGTCACGTCGCATCGTCCCTTCCAAGAACTGATCCCGTTCCAGGCTGAAAGCACTCTGGGGTTTTTGCCCCCACTAGTCTGACTGGAAAATTTACCAGGGTGAAGTGCTGGGTAGTTAACTATTTCCCTCTTACATTTATTCATGGCCAGTTTAAATCCTTTTTTTTTATAAAGCTTGGCCCTTTCGCTTAAATAGCTCTTCTTCCCTGTGGTTTTTATTTATTCCCTCTCTGATGTTCTATGAGAAAACAGTTACCCTTCTGTGCTCCCCACAGGCGTATACGCCAGCCTTCAGCTGCACGACTAAGCAAAACAAATTGTTTAAGTCTTCGCTGGTAAGCTAATTTCTTTCTTCCCTCCTGCCGCCAGTCATTCGCCATGTCTGGAGTTTGAACTAATGGATCTCAAAGTGAATGGCACTGCGCAAGGAACAGGTTAGGTTAAGTCTTACTAATGCCTCATACAGTGACATAAAAACTTCCCTTTTCCAACTGGAAATACTTTGTGGGATGTATCCAAGTAGCACAATCTCTCTAAAATCAACCTGAAATGGACTGCATCAAATCACCTGGAAGGCCCCTGCACCAAAACTATTCCTGGTCCCCATGACCGTGCACAACAAGACCCATTTCCATTTCCCCTGATAGTTACTCTGAGCCATCCTCCTCAGGAAAGCGGCTTTTGGCCTTTGTGTTATTTCGGGGAGGTAGAGCGTCCTTGCTGTGACAGCACTTGCCTGCCGAAGGCCCTCCTGGGACACCATCAGTCCTGAGGGCCCATTTCCCTCAGAGGCTCAATTCACCTTAGCGCAGCGTTTCACACCAGCTACCTTCTGACTTGGTCAGGAGGCACGTATATCTCAAAGGGACTCGGAGAAAATCATCCATGGTTTGGCTGCAAGCTCCCTGCAAGACCATGAGGAGGGACCGCCTTGGGCTTCCCGCCTGCCCCCGTCGAACAGCCCTTGCTTGGGCTCCGTAGCCTGAGACGTGTACCAGCGGGGGAACAAGATTCCCCCGTTTACTATTAAATTGCAGCGCAACATTGCCAGAATGCAGTGTTGAGGCAGCGGTGGGCCAGGGCGGTGGGAACCAGGGCCAGGCTGGACCTGCCACCACACCACATGCGGGAGGGAGCCTTGCCGGTGGTGCCGCCATTGTGCCTGTCACCGAACACTAACAGCTTTCCGGGGCTCTCTGCTCGCCCTCACAAAAGACAGAGGCATCATGGTTTTATTTCCCATGGTGCGCGTCAGTCGGCTCGTCAAGGTGGGTTGCCCACTAGGTGCTTTGCTGAGAGTGAATGAAGGCATGAGGCCACAGGCTCAGGCGGGGGGTGAGCAGGTAGGGAATAGCTGCTCCTCCTCACTGTCCTCCTGTTACCGCAGCCCTTCTCCCCACAAAGGCTCCTTTGTAAGGACGGCAAAGGCCCAGAGCAGGAAAGGGGGAAGGGTTTCCCCTCCCTCCCGCTTTTGGAGGTATAACCTACCTCGGCTGTTACGAGATCTCTTTTCTGCCGAGTTGCATTAAACTCATTTCTGGAAGAAAACAAAAAGGATCTTGTATAATCAAAGGTCCCTGGAGCAACCTGAATAAGCAGCTCCCTGGAGAGAAGTGTTTCTCTCTGATTACCATCACTTTATCAAAGAGGTCTTTCTTGGGTTAACATTTAAAAAGGTGATTTTTTTTTTTCTTTTTTTTCCTTTCGTGGTCTCATTTTACAGAATTGGGCAGCACTCCAATCTCTGCTTGGACAGGGAGGTACCTGGAGCTTGTGGGGGACATGTAGATAGGCAAAATAGGCTTACATGATGGGATACAAAATTGTAAAGCGGCTTCGTATTTACTTGACGCTGCGTGTGAGTGGCTGCGAGTTCCCCAAGTGTCATTTGAATATACTGTGATGGTACTTTTAATAGCAAGAAATGACTGTCCAGCTGTAGCTGACTTAAGTTTGTGATTAAGTTTAGAAACAAGGGCATCAAACTGTAAAACATACTTAGTTTTATCAACAGTCCAAGATGGCATATCATTTGACATGCGTGTGTGTTCGCTAGATGTATTAGAGGTCATTAGACATCCAAAGCTATGTCCGACTGGATGCTTCCATTGAAATTGATGGCATAGTTCCCATTTAATTCAATGGGATCAGGAACATTCCCTAGTTTGGGGTTTGTTTGGATTTCAGCTTCTACATGAAAACTTGTATTGAAAATGTTTATTTTAAGGCTGTATAGCACTTACTTTTCTGCGCTTCAAATAGCAGCTAGGATTTTATCATGCAATTAAAACTGTAGAAGGATACTCATTTAATGTATTTTTCCAGTCATGAAAACATGATCTCATCCTGGTTTCATTCCATTATTCCTCTAAGCTCTCTTGAGACCATAGAAGTATAATTTTTCATAAGGACCTTCATTTTTCAAACAGAGGACCCATGCCCTTTATGTAATTTCTTTGGAAAGAGTCGTAAACATTCTGAAAGTGTGTTTTACATCCAACGTACATGTACATGACATTTTACATGTCAAATTCAAGGCTGTATTTTACTTTCTAACTTGCACTGCGTCACACTTATTCATTCTTGTTCTGTTTGTAGGACTTGACAAATAAGGAATAAAAACTTACCTTGAAGTTCTTCTCAAAAGAGAAAGCTTGCAATAAGATCCTGTAGATTAAAAAGTCATCAAGTTAAAATGTTTTTTCTACAGCCTCACTCTGCACTTGGCAAACAACAGTTTGTCAAGTTTAAAACACCACTATTGAATTTTGTTCTTTAATGATCCTAAGTTTTCCAGAGCATCTTTACACGAACTTTTTCGATTTCCAAGGGATGTAGCACTACATGCTTTCCTTTCTGAGAGTTTGATTCTCTCAAGTACTCGTCACCTGCAAGTTTCCACGGTCTCAGTTCCGGTACGTGCTACCATGAAAAAGAGCAAAGAGTTCATAGTTCTTCAGAGGCTCAGAACAAAACTGATAAAATACAAGAGGTGCTCAGAGTATTCCAGAATCAAACTTCCAGGGTGGTTACCTGTAATCATTTTCTGAATGTTACTTGTAAAACTCAATTGAAGTCCACTTAAAATGCTCTAGAGTCCATGCTTTAAAAGAAAAACAAACCAAACAAACAAAAAACACCCTTCTTTCTCATATTGCCTTAGAAATCTTTATAATTGCTGCAGGAAAACTGTCTACAAGATCCATTTGCATTACATAGAAAGTAGGATCGTTTCTATAACCAGAAGAGTGATTATTTACCCTAGCATTCTAAAAATGCTTAAACAAACTGCAGGTGCAGTCTGGTCAAATAAAATCATACCCCGCTGAAAATCATTATATGCTTACTCATCTGGCAATAATGGCAAGAAAGCCAAGAAACTTAAATTTCATTCCTAAATAATTGTTTTGTAACAAATTCAGACGTAAAAATGTATCTTAAAAAAAAAAGTAAGAGCT